CTGTTCTTGCAGCAAAGAATCATAGAAGTCTAGGATAGTAGGGTGAGATGGGACCAGCAGGGCCATTGGATCCACCCCCCTGTTCAGTGCAGGATACCAAGTTGAAGCATCCCTAACTCTTGGCGGTCCAACTGGATCTTGAATGCCTCCACCGTGGCAGAGCTCGCAGCCTCCTTAGGTAATCTGTTCCATTGTTGTTTTGCTCTAACAGTCAGGAAGTTCTTCCTGATGCTCAGCCTGTGTCTGGCTTTCTGTAACTTGAGCCCATTCTTCTGTGTCCTGCACTCCGGGGTAATCAGGAAGAGATCCTGGCCCTTCTGTCTGTGGCAGCCTTTCAAGTACTTGAAAAGTGCTATCATATCTCCCCACAGTTTTCTCTTCTGAAGGCTAATCAGTCTTGAGTCTTTCAGTCTCATAGGGCTTTGTTTCCAGTCCCCTGATCGTATCTGTTGCCCCCCTCCAGAGCTTTCCAGTTAGTCTGCATATTTCTTAAATTGTGATGCCCAGAACTGGATGCAGTTCAGCAAGATAAGCCTAAGCAGTGCTGAGTAGAGTGGAGCTAATAGTTTATGTGGTTTGGAAGTGATACTTCCATTTATGCAACTCACAGTAGCATTTGCTTTTTTTCCACAGCCAATCACGGTGTTGACTCATATTCCACTCACGATCTATAACAATTCCAAGATCCTTCTCAGTTGCAGTATTGTTGATCCAAGTATCCCCCATCTTGTAACAATGCGTTTGGTTTCTTTTTCCCAGGTGCAGAACCTGGCATTTGTTCCTGTTAATTTTTTTTCTGTTTTTTTCAGCCCTGTGTTCCAACCTGTCCAGATCATTTTGAATTTTGTTTCTGTCTTGTGGGGGTATTAGTTCTCCCACCCAATTTTGTGTCATCTGCAAATTTGATCAGAATCCCTGCATTTGGACCATTTTATTAAATGATCTTTAATAAAAATATTGAAAAGCACAGATCCCAGGATTGAACCAAGGCGTACTCTACTTATTAATTCTCCCCAATCCCAGGGTACACTACTTATTAATTAATTAATTAGAAAAGCTTCCATTGATAAACACTCTTTGAATTTGTTTCTGTAGCCAGCTGTGGATCCACTTGATAGTTCAATCGAGCCTGCTTTGAGCTAGTTTGCTGATCATGGGGCACTTTAGCAAAAGCTCTGCTGAAGGCAAGATTTATTATGCCCACAGCATTCCCACAGCCCACCAGGGAGATTACCTGATTAAAAAATTAGATCAGATTAATCTAGCAAGATTTGTTCTTCACAATGCCACATTGGCTGCTAGCAATCACTTAATGGTTCTTAATGTGCTTGCAGACTGACTACTTTATAATCGGTTCCAGAAATTTTCCATGGACCAATGTCATGCTGACTGATCTGTAGGTCCCAGATTCCTCCTTTTTTTCCTTCTTGAAGATGGGGACAATATTAGCCCTCCTCCAATCACTAGACACTTCACCTGCCTTCCATGATTTCACCAAGATAATTGACAGTGGCTCTGACAGTGGTTCTTCTACCAGTTCTTTTGTTACACTATGATGAAGTTAATAGTGATTTGAACTTGTTCAAAGTAATGAAGTCTTCCTTGACTACTTGCCTATTGATCGCAAGCTTCAATCTTGCCCTTTCAGTTTCACCTTCACCTTCGCCAGTGAGGTTATATACCTTCTTTTGGGAGAAGACAGAACCAGAATAGTCATTAAGCACTGCTGTCTTTTCATTGTCATCTATTATTGTTTTGCCATCTTCACTGAGTAGCTTCTTCCTCACCATTCACAATTTCTTCCTATGTTTTTTTTTTTTTAAATATGCATATGTCTGAAGAAGTGTGCTTAGCCTGCTTTGCTAACTCTAACACATTCTCAGTTTTAGCCTTGGTGGCAGGCTCATACCCTGAATTCAGGCCTGGGTCTTTGATTTCCTAAAAAGTAGGCCTTGCTCAGAGAAACTCTAGTTACTGTGTCTGTTTTAATTAAAATGCAGCACCTTAGTTGTCTTGTCCTGGCCTCACCTGAGTGTCTTCACAACAGGGAGACACCCTCTTGGCTTGATAGGTGGGCAAAGGGAGGACACACTGCTGTGCTTGCTTCCTTATCAGTCCGGCTAATCCACACAATCCTGCCTTCCTGTATGCAGGCTAATATCTTACCCGCTGATTGACTTATGCTGCCCGCTGTCCTCAGAGGGAATGAGACCCCAATTTAGCAGCCTTAACAGGCCAGCCAGGGACCCTCCTCACCTGTTGTGCCTTTCTGACTCCCTGCTCCTAAATGTGTATTGGCCCACCTGTTCTCATCGTGTGTGCTGCCCCTCTGTCAATGATCCATGTCTCCCAAATATACTTGGTGCATGATTGCTGCACGCATTGCTCTAAACATGTAATCTGTGTAAACTGGCCATTACCCATGTGCTCTAGTTCAGGCCCTTTCGAGGAAGCTCCACTGCCCCTGCCCGTTCCAGCCAATTGAAGCCTACCTTGCAGGGGTCCTTGCACGCATGGTATAAGTGACTTGCTGCTAAAATACTTGGGAATGCTGGCTAGCTTACTTGTAGTCTGTTGCAACATTAAGGTGCCTCCTCGTAAGCAGACCCCGGAGCGGGCGCGATCATTTCCTTGGGATCACAGCAACTCGTTGCACAGCCTTCCTGATGCCAACCCTGCTATTCAGTGCTACCTGTACTCTTCCTTTGCAGCCTGGCCTTCCTTCCACTTCTCCTATGTATCCTTTTTCATGCTGAGTTCATCTCTTAAGCTGTTATGGAGTCATGCTAGCTTGCACCTCTTCTTGTTGGAATTGATGGTACTTGCATCTTTAGAATTTCCTTTTTAACACGTCCACCGATATTGGGCTCCTTTTCTCATTAAAGTTGCTATTTATTGCGTGCTTACTATATATTAGAAGTGGCTTTTCTATAGTCCAGGGCACACATTTGGCTACATCCAGCTTTTGCTCCCTTTGGAAGGAAGCCATTTTTTCAAAGCCATGTAATAATGCATTCCAACAAAGCCATTTCAAAACAGCATTTCTGTATTTACTGTGTATTTCTTCTGCTCTTATACTTGTAAAATAAAAGAGACAAGCAGCCTTATCTTGCATTTTGATATTGGACTGCATGTATTCAGCCAACATTCTTGAGCATCTGGGCTTCAGTCTTCATTCGGCCTTGAAGCAAAGGCCTTCCAAATATGCTCAAAGGCACATGGGTCGCTGTCAAATTAGGCACATTTCCATATATAGGACACAGATATACACAATCACTAGGCTATTTTTGATTTTTCAGATCTTTAGGACCATTTCTCCACCAATTTACATGGGTGTCACCATTGCTACATGTCCATATCTCTTCCTATCACTGTGGGCAAGTTTCCGAGCTGTAGACATTGGTCCAGTAAAATAATGTTTGTTCAGCATGTGCTGTGAAACAACTTGCAGTCTTAAATAGAAATGACTTTTGCTTGGAATGCTAGCAGGCGGTGAAGACAGACTAAAGATGGAATCCTGCGGTCACAAGATGGTGCACGAGGGGCCGTAGAACACTGGGGATTTCTCCCTTTAAGGTCATGGGTCAAAATGGGCATTTCCCTCCCCCAGGTCCCCTTGCCCCTTCTGGCTACCACTGATACTCTGCAACAGCTTTCTCTCCTGAGGTCATGTCATGGCCTTGGGAGGAGATCAAGTGGACTTTGGGTGCACAAACGTCTCAGCTTGCGCCTCCAGCATGACTCAGCTAGATGCACCCAGTGGCCTTTCTAATGATAGGTGCACTGAAGAGGCCAAAATAGCCCTGGTCATTCTGCCTTGCCAGCACAGCCCTAGCAGAGCATTTAAATCTCAGTAGCCTCTGATTTCAGAAGCTTCTGTTGTCCCAGCAGCAGTCCCAGCTCATTATGTCCTAAATCCCATTGCCCGGACAGGCAGTTTCTTGCAATATATCATTGAATCATCCCTAGCTCCACCTCAGTATTGTCACAGCCTCCTGGGCACATCATGCCTGGTGATGCCTGCAGGACACACCTGTATTGAGGGGGTTCACCATCCCCATTGGATGGGATTCCCAGTTGTGTAGAGCAGTTATAGCTGCAGGGTATGTGCATAGGTACCCCTTTTCAGTCCTTGCACTCTCCGTGCACTCTACACGTGCTCTTGCTGGCACGTAAAGCCAGCAAGACATGGGAATGTCTGGGTCAGGGCTACCTGCATGATCTCCCTCCCCCTGAACGTGTTTCCTCCGTGTGTGGAGGAAATTTGTGAAAGAAACTGTTGAACTAGTTGATTAGTTCAAACTGTTGAACTAGTTCAAACTAGTTGAACCATTTCCCTGGGACAGAGAGCTCAGAAGGTGAGATCTGCCTGAGGACACCTGAACCTGGAAGGGTATATTCATCTTCTCCAGTGTGGACTGAGACAAAGGGGTGCTTGTCTGTGTGAGAGAACCAAAATGATTGGTGTCAGCACGGGAAGACTGAATCTTTACCCTGAATTCAGCAGTTCCCATCCAGCAGTTCCCACCTTGGTACGCATTTTGTCTCTGTATGATTATCACCTACATTTTCCTGAAACTACATTGTTGGATCCAACTTGAGTTGATCTGTATGATTTTGTATGGACTGTGCATCTTCATCAACAGTGCCTCCTATCCTTCATTCATCCATTTTAGTGTGTTGTATATTCTAAGTTTTTATCCCACATTGTCTACCATGAAGCTTACATTTTAATTAATTAACTCTTTAAATTTTAGTTTTAATTACATTTCAATTTAATATAATTTTGATTGTTTTATTGTTGAATTCATTTTTTTTAAAAAATTGTAAATTGACATGAGATTTTTAATGATTGATGGTATAGAAAAAAATTAAATAGATACATGTGTGGTTTTATTCTCTGCCCCTCCCTCCCTTTGTGTGTGTATGTGTGTGTGTATTTGCCGAGTCTGTTGTCTGTCCTATACTCATTTTCTTGCATTTTTCTTTTCCTTTTTCAGTTGTATATGAGCACCGGACGAGATTAGAAAAATCACTACAAAAAGAAAGGCTTGAACATAAGAAAGCAAAAGAAGGTAACTGTACATTCCACACAGCTAATTTAAATCCATATTCAGGAGCAACATTGTTCTCACTGGTATTGTTAATGTAGGAACCATGTATTTCATTCAGGGCTCTCTGAAATGTGTAGGCCAGCAACAGGTTCCCTTAAAGCAAGCTGTGATTTTGGCTTGTCTTTTAAAAATAGTAGCACTTATGTGTTGGTTGTTTCCATTTCAGTGTATCTTCTCTTCTTGCTTTATAAGTATCAAACGTGGTTTTTCCCTATAAGGATAGTATTTGTGAATGGATTTCTACTGCCATCTAGTGAGCAGCAAAAAAACCCGTGCGGGTTGTAACATTGTTTTCCAAACAGAGAGATTCTACATTCTTTCAATATTAATGAAAGGCAGATTTTGCAGTGGGGAAACGTTTCCCAAGATTGGAGCAAATGTTTCAGGGAAGAGCATTTTGAGTGATTCATTGCCTACCATTTAAAACAAAGTGAAGCCCATTTTCTCTTCCCCTTCCTTTTTTTCTTTAACATTTTAAAAGTCAATCCATACTGCTGGCTGGTGTGTGTGTGTGTGTGTGTGTAAGTAAATGAAGCCAAGAGAGGGAGTTGAGAACTCGGAACCATTACATCTGACTTCATAGCATTACTTTCCTGGGAAGGACTGTGCACAATCTCAGATATCCTAGCCAGCTGCTTCTTGTCCCCTCAGCCATATTTACAGACAATATGGCTACTCACCTGCCTATCTTAGACAAACTCCTTCTTGGAGTGGCTTGACTTTTAAAATGGTAAAGAAAAGAAAGCAAGAGACATGCTTGCAATATCACAGCTTTCTAGATTTTTTATTGTTTAGTTGCAAAGTCATGTCTGACCCTTCACGACCCCATGGACAACATTCCTCCAGGCTCTCCTGTCCTCCACCATCCCCCGGAGTCTACATCCACCACCTCAGTGACTCCATCCAGCCACCTCATCCTCCGCCGTCCCCTTCTTCTTTTGCCATCTATTATTCCCAGCATTAGGCTCTTCTCCAGGGAGTCCTTCCTTCTCATTAGGTGGCCAAAGTATCTGAGCGTCATTTTCAGTATCTGGCCTTCTAAAGAACAGTCAAGGTTGATTTCCTCTAGGATTGACTGGTTTGATCTCCTTGCAGTCCAAGGGACTCACAGGTGTCTCTGCCAGCACCACAGCTCAAAGGCGTCAGTTCTTTGGTGCTCAGTTTTCCTTATGGTCCAACTCTCACAGCCATGCATTGCAGCTTTCAAGAGGTCATCTTCATTTTTCAAGGCACACTTTTGCCCTTCTCAGTACAGAAGGTGCCACTTTGAGTTGGGGAAGGGTAGTAGCATCTTTACTATTGTCCAAAAACTGACATTTTAATGCATTTTAGCCTACAATCTTGGGGGATCAAAGCCTTTAATGGTGTTACCTCTGATTGGGATCTGCATTTTTAATACCTCCAAGGGATTGCAGTAGGGATGACAGGTATCCCATGTGGGCCCCTTTTCAACCAGTGTGACTCAGTAGTCGTGACATAAAGCCCCATTGACTAAATGTAACTGGCTTAGTTTTGGATTCAGCCTGATATTTTAAGGGGAGTCACTTAATACTCCCAACACTGGTCCAGCATACAGTATTTGTGTGAAGAGAAACAAAATTGTGTACATGTGTGCAAAGTGAACTGACTGTGTGAACTATCTTAAATGAGCATCTTGTTTGAACCATTAATTTTCTGTAGAAACTGCAGCTGTTTGGGTTTTGTCTGCATAAACATTCCTCAGAATCTGTTATTTTCTCTCCTTTTATTACCTAGACTTTCTTGTTTATAAACTAGAAGCACAAGAAACACTAAATAAAGGGCGGGTAAGTGAGCAAGAGTAATCTTTAAATAAGTTATTCTTTTTACAATTCATCTGTGACTGGGAAAGTATACTTTATTTATTTATTAAATTTATAGAGTGCCCCACCACAGGGGCATGTACAGCCAGTAATTAGTAGTACATGGCTATATTCAGATATTAGTTAATTAATTTTCTATGCCACCAAAGAGTCACAGCTCTCTGCATTTTGATTTATAAGAATGAGCCATAGGTTCCTGCATTCCCCCTTTTTCACATACCCAAAGAGAAGCTTGAAAGCTTTTGCTCTTAAGCTAATCGTTCCCTGTGACTTTCAAATCATGGTTCAGTGGGTTTCTTAGTAAAATATGAAACAGTTGGAACAAACCACATTTTCTCCAATTTCAGATGCAACAGGGAACTGTAGATGCTTTCTTCCTTCTTGTACATGTGGAGGAGGGGGACACGCAAGCTCAAGGCTTGTACAGCCTTGTTCTCATAGTGACAAACCATGGTTTGTTATACTGGAAACAAGCCCACTTCTGTTGTCCAGATGCATAGGCCTTCTTTGTACATCCCAAGCAATATGGTCCTCTTTGTGTATGAGAAGAGGGACTGCGGTGCATCACCATTTCATTACCTAATACTTGATTGAGGAACTAATGCAGAACACATTGGCTACTGATTCAGCACCGAGCAACATTCAAGGTCTTACAAGCCCTGAACAGCATGGAACTGGGTTACCTGGTGGCTTGCCTTCCCTGGGATAGGCCTGTGCCATCAATAAGGTAATTAGAGGCAGTTTTGCTTGTCGTACCATGACCTGTAGTTTGCTGTTCTGTAGCTACACAGATGTAGGTCTTCTCTGCAGTGGCCCCCACCTTATTGAATGTCTCCTCCTCCTCAGTAGTTGGGAGGAGCCAGCTGTGGATGCCTTAGGCACCCATTAAAACCCTGTGGTATGCTTTAGGCACCTCTTTCTCCAGGCCTTGCCTGAGTGATTGTTTATTAATTAAACTGTAAACTACACCAACAACTCTGCACCTGGAATGCCATGATTCATATGACCTCCCATGTCTCAGTCTTTAGGGGAAAATCCATTCTGATCAGACATGGAAGATCCATGTGAGACATTGGCCCAGTCCTTAGGACTGCAGATGGGGAAATAAGCCAGTGTCTCATCAGGACAGGAGAAAGAGCGGCATTGTCCTCAGCAGCAGGACTGGTTCTGTCATGCAGTTCCAGCAAGGTGTGCAAAGCCAGGTCATTGTTAGCTGCACAAGTGGAAAGTATGGCAGGAGAGATGAACCCTATTTCTGTCATGCCAGTGGGAGGCCCTGACCATGTTACTTATATATGGTGAAGTAGCAGTTGCGGTTAATACTTTGGAAGGGCAACCCTTCCAAAGAGAGCCTTTGCCAGTGCAGTGCCCTCCAGATGTGTTGAATTATAGCTTGCATCATACCCTGCAGGAATGGCTAATAAAAGATTATAAGAATTGACCAACACCTCTGAGGATCGTTGCATTGGAAGGGTGCCTTGGGATGTGTCCTGAGCCTCGGATATCTGCAGGCAATCCATGAGCAATTTCACAATTTCCTTATAATTTATAGAGAGATACCATAGCTCAGAAGGAAGGAGCTGAGGATGTCAAAAAACTAGATATTTCTCCTTTTGTTTTCCAGCAAGATTCTAATAACCGGTACAGTGCATTGAATGTACAACATCAGATGCTGAAGGTAAATATGTGTGTCTTCTTAAAAGATTCACTTTAACAGAAAAGCTAGAAAACGATGAAGACATTTGGCTTCCAGTCTTACTTTGTGTTTCCCAAACATGCCCTTTTGAATTATCTCCAACTCCAGTGGCTGTTTTGGGTGCCAGAAGAAGAACTTCTCTCTGACTGTCACCCTATTAGCTCTAGGCTTCAAGAACCTAAGAAGAAATGTGCTGGATCAGAACAAATCATTCTGTTCTCACAATGGCTAGCCAGATGCCTATGTCAGCCACCTAATCAGGACATGAGCACAGTAGCATCCTCTCACCTGTGTTCACCTGTACCTGCAATTTAGAGAAATACTGTCTCTGATAGAGGTGGTAATATATAGGCACTGTGGCTAGTAGGCATTGGTTGCTTTCTTCTCCGTGCATTTATCTAATTCCCTGTGAAAATGATCAGAGCTGGTTACATCTTGTGGTAGCAAATGTCATAGTTTAAGTATGAGCTATATGAAGAAGTACTTCCTTTAATGTGTCCTGAATCTCCCACCGATCAGATTCATGGAATGAACCCAGGTTCCAGCCACATGAAAGAGGAAGAAAAACTTGTTTCCATCCCCTTTCTCCTCACCATGTGTCTTGTTCCTGAATCTTCATTTGATGTACTTCTAAGCTAAAAAGCACCAAACCTTGTCACCTTTCCTCATAGGGGAATCTCCCCAGCCCCTGAATCACTCATCACTTTGCCCTTTTCTTATCTTTTACAATATCCTTTTCCAAGCATGGATTCTTTGTAGAGTTTTTGTGAAAGTAATATATGGGCAGTTTAATTTCAATTCCTTTCTGAACAGTTCCCAATGTAGATTTTACCTTTTTCACAGCAGCTGCATGATGAGGGTGGTTTCAAGAGAAGACCCCTGTGTTGCCAGTTAGAAACCATCATGAAGCAAACCTGTCCTTTTCCCCCTTAGGATGCAGTTTAGACAGAAAAAATGTCCTGCAGTCCAGGACATTTTGCCCGTAAGCCATGCTAGGAGTTTAGACATTTTTCTGCCTAAACATATGTAAGATTACACGTCTGTTTTTTGCAATAAGGAAACACAGAAAAAAGAAGTGGGGAAATGCAGGAGGGCAACGATGTTGCCCAAATCTCCCCAAAATTCCATGAACCAGACAAGATGATGGTGTGGCGAAACTCTCATTGCCCATCGCCCCAAGGGCTCTTTCCTGGTGCGTCACAGCCAGTTCAGACACCATCAGCATATGCTTGAAGTGAAGCCTTTTTGAAATCGCTCCATGCAAATTTCCTTGCATTCCAAAAGTACACGCTGCTGCCTTAACTTTCCACACTTCCTGTGCACAAAGTAATTGACATGGGGGCAGTTGGAAGCACACAATTGTCCCCTGTACATTCCATCTGGAGAGGACTTTGCCACATCCAGAACAGTCAAATCGGCTTATTTATTTATTTAAAAGTTTTTATATGCCGTCCCCATTGCTACATAGCCTTGGAACGGCTCACATCAACAAATAAAACAAATACAATTACAATTAAAACTTGGAAACACACTGGCTGCACAATTAAAACTATAAATATTAAAGGTTATTAAAATACTGTTTGAATAAAAAGGTCTTGGCCTGGCACTGAAAAACAAATAATGGCAGCCCCAGGCGGACCTCTCTGGGGAGCGCATTCCACAGATGGGGCGCCACCGCAGAGAAAGTTCTCCTCCGGATACTTTGCTTCCTGATGTCTCTCACAGAGGGCTCCCGGAGGAGAGCCCCTGCTGTCGATCTCAAGGGGTGGGAGGGCAAATATGGCCGCAGTCATTCCTTCAGGTATCTGGGTCCCAAGCTGTTAAGGGCTTTATAAGTAATTACCAACACCTTGAATTGAGCCCAGACTTCGATGGGAAGCCAGTGAAGCTGGTAGAGGACTGGGTTTATATGAGAATAACGCCCAGTCTTCATCAGCAACCTGGCTGCTCTATTTTGCACCATCTGAAGTATCTGGACTGTCTTCAAGGGCAGCCCCACATAGAGCGCGTTACAGAAATCCAACCGGGAAGTAACCAGTGCATGCGTCACTGTCGCTAGGCAGTTGTCCTCCAGGTAGGGACGCAGCTGATGGATCAGCCGAAGCTGATGGAAAGTGCTCCTCGCCACTGCCGACACTTGAGCTTCCAAAGTCAGCTCCGGGTTGAGGAGCACTCCCAAGCTGCAGACCCTGTCCTTTAGAGGGAGTGCAACCCCATTCAGGACAA